AATTGATTGACCTGGAAAATTTCAGAAATGATTTGAAGAAGACCTTCATTGTGTTGCAGGACTGTCCTTCCAACCTAATATTTATATACACATGGCTTCCTATACGCGTAAGATGTTATTTAGACGCAATATCACAATGCACTGCCTATATCGCGTCTAATACTTGGAACTAGTTGAAGGGCCGCAACTCGAACGCGCGCGGCAGCTCTTGCAATGCGTTAATGCGCTTTTCTCAATCAAATTTGCAATTCATTGAAATAACTGTAACACAAACCGGCACTTCTGACACTCCCTTGAATTGCAGACGTGGATCCGTCCATGTTTGTTCGAGTGTAATTGATGTCCGTAACATGTCGTCGAGTAATCGTGCACTGTTTACAGCCAAATAGACGTCTACCTGTAAATATGCTAGGTCAACAATGGCGTATAATAAACTTAAGAGTATACAATCTCTTTCTTGAACTATGCTCAACTCTGTTACCCCTACTCTTCATTCTCACAGAAGGTTCACCATGGCTTTATGCAGCTACAAGAGTGGGAATGGCTTGCACTTTGGGGAAATGGAATGGAACGCGTTTTTGAGTGAATAAAAACTTGTGGTCGAGACTAATAGGATCCATTTTTTGTAACTGTACTATGCAGAATCTGAAGCTAATTTGCAATAAGTGAGGAAATCAAATCTTTTAATATCGGGAACTTGTCATGCAAAAAGGCTACTCGGTACGGTAGTGATAAGTTAAGCGAGGCTGGCGTCTAAATATATTTTTGCTTCTTGACCACTATTACATAGTTAGGGCCAATATCTTTTTTTCAGCATGTGTGAGAATAATTTTCTGCTCACAGTGCAGTCTAGTAAAAATATCGGCCTAAAGTGCTAATAGGAGATGATTTGCCACAAATTTTGTGAATAAAACATAAGGGAACGAATGGGGAACACAAGTTACTTTTTTCAATTCTGTGGGAACGCATATCATTAAGGGCCTACAGAAGCTCCGAATGAAGTCACAGGACCGAATGGGATTCTAGGAAGTCTATAATTTCAACTTTCTAGGGAAAGGTTCCGTGATATCAGCCGAACGACACCGAAAACGATCCGGGAAAGTGGAGCAGACGGACAGAGAACAGACGGTCAAAGTTGTCCCACCATCTGTCCCCGTCTCCATCTACAGTAATGCTGGCAATTTCAGTTATTCAGGCAGGAAAACCTTAGATTTCCAAAAATGGCACGCCTGGAGTTTGCCGGCGCATCGATTCGGCTACACCTGAATGCACCCGAATAGAGCCGACAAGTACGGGCCAGCGAGCATCTTAGAATTTGGGACTTAGGCATTGAAGTTCCGTAAAACCACTTTTGGACTTAGTTCATTCAATTAGTGCAGTATTCTGAAAATTAACACGCTCCAATACAATTGGTTTATTTTTTGTTGATTTTTATGATTGAATATGCAGAAATTTTCCGTCTTTGCTCCTGCTATCATTATAACCACCTGTACTGGGAAAAGCTGCAAGTATGCTGACTCATGGTGATGGTTGCGACCATTTTCAGATCTTTTAAATCGAAAACTAACAAACTTTGAGGAGAGGCAAACCAACTCACTGTTACGTTAGGTCCAGGTCCTTGGTCATGATTATATTCCATTAGCAAATCATCGAACTCTACTCGATTCTGTGGTCGTTCAATGACAATCGGTGAATCATGACGAGCTAAGGCGCCTAATAATGTATAGTGCCATAGGAATAGAATAAACATTCTACCAAAGCAGTTGACCGCAACTTCTGACGCGGTAATTCAAATGCACGGCGTAGACACTGAAATTTTGAAAACATCAGAGAAAAAGAAGAATTCTGGCGCTGTTCCGACTGAGAAGAGCGAAGAGGGTTGGGGAGGGGTAGATGGGGGAGGCAGGGCCCTACAACGTCGGGTTGGCAGTTGTAGTGGCTTACCCATTAACTTTGCAGGTGTAATACCACTTGTAGCCCATAGAACTGCAATTTTGCATGATTTAGTTGAAATACCTCCTTAGACGGAAAAATCGAAGGGGTCGTACGCTCTGTCCTCGTGTTCTGCCTCCCCCACTTCTTCACTTACTCTCTCTCAACCGGCACAACTCGAAAAATCATTCACGATGCAGTAACAATGAAAATGAGTGATAAACGGCAGGCATGAGTCTGTAACCCTGTACTGGACTCTCGGAACGATGAATCGAGTGGAGAAAATCTTGGAAAAGAATGAGAGAGAGTCTTTTTGCTCAGTCGAAGAACTTCAGCTGCAGGATTCAAGAGTGAATTTGTCGGTATAAAGAGAGGAATGGTGACTGATCCTTCTGTGTTGTGGTGTATTCACTCAAATAGAGAGGGCAGAAGTCGCCATGGGTTCACTCAGGCGCGCCGCTCACGAAGCGCAAAAAAGTCGCGCTCACACAAGGCACGATTTCCTTACATAGAAAAGTGGCCCAACTGAGTGAAGTTCTGGGGGAAACGAAAGGATGTATTTTCTCAAAATTTAATAATTCCAAGAGTTGTTTCTAACACTGAGTTGCTCATTTACAAATAGGTTAAAGAGGACAAAAACAGATGTAGCTGGTACGACCTTTACCGGCTTCCACAGCTCTCCGTCCAACCAGTACGATAATCCTGAGCTGAGGTAATTCATTTATAGAGGTACTATTAGCCAACATATTAAGGAAGTTTGTACTGAGTCTAAGAAGTGAATTGCCTCAGCAAAGCTCTCGAGGTGAAAATGAGGAAAAGTGCTAGTGCTGGTTGATTTCACAGAATAATATCGCTGGAGCTCTATTTGCTCTGCTTCGATTAGCAAATTGGAAAAAGCCGGGGATTTCTCATCAAATTCCATGAGAATATCCCAGAGGCGATATATCTTAGCGAAAGTGCAGCACACTGTAATTTAATGAAACCTTTCCTTCTTGCCTTTGATGAATTTCTCCCAAGGTCCTAGTGGTGACTACAATGATGCGTTCTTTTCCTCAGACGACTTCTCTTTCCGAATATACCTTCAGCAACCAGAAATCCTTATCTTCTGTGGTGTATACTAGTAAATAAATAAATGATGTAAAGTAATTCAAAATCCTATAAATCATAAGCCATGTTTGTGATAAAGCAATCCAGCCTGCTTCGGCCACGACGGTGAAAAAGATCTGTTACAAAAGCTCCACCCATTCAGAAACCACGCCTCCGAATAAATTAAAACGCAGATGCCTTCTGTTCTCTACCTACTTCATTTTTTGTGAGAATTAGGAAAGGCGATATTAGGGGCTTGAAGTAAGCAGGCGGATGCTCGGTGAACTCCTATACCATAGCACCAGCGTTAACGAAAAACTCTGGTCAGTTCTAAGAAACCTTCAAAGTTCTTCAAGAGTTACTCAAGTTAGCCGTTGCATTTTTTATTCTCAATAGAAATGCTCATCACCATCGTAAGTAGGATCAATAAATGGATGAAAGGAAAGAGAAAGAAGAAGCTTTGCTGGATTAATGGAGAGTTACACTTAGCCGCTGATCCTGAAAGCATTTCAACATGGACGGTATCCTATCGATTGGTTTCTCGATAGATATTATTGGACGAATGAGTATTTTCATTTCACTATCAATTACTCGGAGTCCTAGAGAGGACAGCAAAGTTCTTTATAAGGACATTCCAAATAATAAGCTCAAATTACACATGCATGACTTCACTGAAGTTTCGTTGTGCGGTTTTCATTAGCTAATGGTGTTTACGAGAGCTGTCAACGCTGTGTTCAAGCCTGGAAATATAATGCCATCTTTAATTAGCTTTGAGGATCGTATGGATATTCCTTATTGAATCAGTGGGGTGTGTTCTAAAGCGTACCGAAAATAGCGCAGCAGAGTAAGTAGCGCCTCTGGGAAGCCCATGGTTGGTGGATTGAAACCGGATGAGGTTTACTTGTGTCAGTTTAGTCTCGTGTCTCACCAGGTTGATCAGCACCAAGTCTGTCTGAGAAGGTGAAGCATAAGAAAAGCTGGAGTTCTCTTATGAAGCGAATAGGACTTCTATGGTGAACACGAGGATGAATGGAAGCCGAATGCATGGGCGGATATCAGAAGAGTGATTTATCAAACTGCAAGCGGCTCATCGCTCACTTATGGAAGGTCATTTTTCGCGGAAATTCTGATTCTGGAGTGCTAGAGGCATTTCACGACTTCGGTGTCCAATTTTGAATGCACAGCTCGCCCTGAACCTTTGATTACTGTAATAACTCGATACTACGACTACAAAGTACCTAGTTAGAGAGTGATTACTAAGCGGGGCTAGTTATAAATGAGTTATTTCTAGAATCAGTGTACGTGCTTGTAAAAAACAAGGCCAGTGCATAGTGTCATCAAGTGTGGAGATAACAGGCTAATGATAGCCCTCCCGTATCCCTTCCCTTCCTTCCCCGAGGTGAGCCATGAACTTGAACTCTTACGAGTCGTCTAGCGACATTGAAAGGCCGAAAGATCAACTGACTCGATTCATAAAACACGTTCGAAATCTTCCTTTGTTTTATGCGAAGTCTTCTACTTCTATTTTTTGGTTCCAGAAGTAAACTTATTTGATTGGGTTGTGCAGTATATGTCCAAAACTACTGAGGTTCCTGCCTGTCTTCAGGCGCTCATTGAATATATTTAGATATATAGTAAGGATACTCCAGGAACACAAGAACCTCATAAAAAGTCGGATGTAATCATCGCAATCAATTGAAGAAAAGCAACTGAGTAAGTTTAGAGATGAAGTGAATTTTACAGCTGAAAATGAGATCTACAATGAGCAGTTGAGTCCACATATGTTGAGTACGAGTAGTAGTCATATCGAATGAGCGCCCATTTGCTGAGCTAGGTTATTCAATTAACAACGAGGTAATAAGGTTAATGTCAAATCGAAACGATCCCCTTCAGAATACGGAATCTCCCCGGAACGTTAAAAAGTCTGCCATAAAAGTGTTGAGAGTGAAAAGCGGCACGTTAGGGCACCCACTAGACTGGGGAACATCAAATTTCATGTGAGCGGTAGAGGACGACACGTAGGGCATTTCAATTAGCAGCGAAGAGCTGCTAGGGACATTTTCTCTGGCAGAAAAACCAATGAGAAAATCAGTATCGAGAAGAATGATGCTAAGCCGGGATGAGCTCAGGACGCACATTGTTCCTAATGGATGGAATGAATAGTAGGCTTAGCGCTGATTATTGTTTTGGGATACGCCACGCAACCACCCTTTGCTGAAGAATCACACAGATGATTGAATACACCCTACTCATTTAGTAACTGCTCATTATTTAGATACATAGTCCGATAGCAAGCGGTGCGTTATCACCCAGGCACGGTTCAGGGATGGTATCGTGGATCACCAAGCACTCAGGCCGATCAAGCCTCCTCTCTGGGGGAGATTGATTGGTACCAGACTGATATGGGAAGATAAAAGCACTCAGTGGTGCATCGCCTGGCCACTGCAATTCGTATTAAAAATCTCATACGCTCTCATTCTCTTCCACAACAATTCTGAGTAGAAGTGGAATGCAAAGCCCATCCCAAAGACGCGAATGATCGACGACAAAGATTCTTCTTCAAAATGCTAAGGCATCAGACAGCCTTTTCTACGGAGGAAAAAATTGAAAAAAAAGAGTGGCTAGGATGGCCTAAGTGAGTCTGATTTCACAGATTAAATAGGGGAATAGCGATTGGGTCAGGATTTTTCCAGCTAATCTCCCAAATTTCATTCCCAAGTACGAGGACGTAAAAGCTCCCGGTAGTTCGCGACCAACAGGCGGAACTAATGCCTTAATGGATGCCCTTTCAGTGTATTGCTCACCGATTTACTCTATCCATTATTGTTCTTACCCATAGCGCAAGGACACCCAAACAGGTGAAATAAGAAACGCCCTAGAGATTTCCAGTAAATAGCTCCCAGAAATAAGAGACTGAGAATTAACAAATAGTTCAGTGAATAAATAATCAATGCAAGTATAATGAACAGTGATGTAATTTCTAGAAAAAAATGGTAGGAGTGTATAGTACCGGGGCTATACTTTCACCTACTCGTCAATCGGAATCATACAGCTGCTAGTTGTTGAACCCGCTAGAGACCAAATTGGCTCAGCTGCCAGGCTGTCGTTGTTGGGGGTTGGTTGATGACATAAGCACCGGATGAGAGCGATTATGCATAAATTACTGGAGTTCATCTACCTGCATCAGGTAAACACATACAAGTCTTAGTTATCGGAAAAAATTTTCAAAGAGAAAGAGAAAAAAGCGAGAGAGAGAGGAAAATTTTTTGTTTTGTAGAAAGAAAGTGGAGTTTTCTAGGAAAATACTCGAATATGCGGCTACTCGAAGTATGCCACTTTCAACTAAAGGCTATTCTACTAATAAAATCTGACCATTTCCACCTTCAAACGGGGAAATAGTTATTTCAAGGTAAGATACTGAGGCTAACCCCGAAGCTCATGATTCCAAAAGAGCACGCTGGTAGGTTGGGGAGGGTGAGAAAAAGAGGTTGAATGACATATCATAAAAGAAGAAAAGTGATATTCAGATGTGTAGGGCGAGGAGAAGGACGGTGAGGGGAACAGCCAAGGAGCATGGCCGTTCTGTGGCTGGTAGAGTGACTTATGGTTAGACGAGGATAATCCGTCAAGAAGAGAGGATTGAGTGATGGGTCGTTAAGCTGATGATAGTTTGAGAACAGGTGTGTAAAATTTTTACCACCTTTCACCGTTCGGGTAAAGACGAGGTGCCCT